GTAAGTTTTCCTTCTGTGAAAGATCGTGTAGTGGGTTTTCTCAAGGTTTAAGGTCATTTTATTACGTGTTACCCAGCTCCTGACTTTAGTTAATTCAGTGTTCATAATTCTCATCAAGGAATGGAGGTCTGAGTTGCTGGCATAGAGATTACTATCGTCTGCAAATAAGTTGTATTTTATGAGTGAGCTGGCGTGGACTATGTCGTTTATGTACAACAAAAATAGTACTGGACCGAGAATGGAACCTTGGAGGACTCCATACAAGATTTGTGAGGAGTCAGATTGGTGATTATTATAGCAGACATACTGCATCCTGTTGGACAGATATGAAGTAAACCAATTGTGGGACAGGCCCCTAGTGCCGTAATGTTCACGTTTTGAGAGGAGGATGGTATGGTCGACAGTATCGAAGGCTTTAGAGAGGTCCAAGAATATACCGACTGTGAACTGACTGGCATCAAAGGAATTTAAGATATCATTAGTAAAGGATAGCAGAGCACTCTCAGTCGACCTTCCAGCTCTAAATCCAAACTGGGTGTCTGTAAAGATGTTATTGGCATTGCAGAATGCATTTAGTCTATTACATGCTAGCTTTTCCAGTATCTTACTCAAGGCTGGGAGGACTGGTATGGGGCGGTAATTCTTGAAGAGACCTTTATCTCCAGATTTTTATATGCTGGGTGAACTTTAGCAATTTTCAGTTTATCCGGAAAGACACCACTAGTGAAGGAGGAGTTACAAATGTGTAGGAGAACAGGTAGTAATAAGTGGGCTACTTTCTTAATGATGCTCATTGATATATTGTCTTCGCCTGCTGCTGCATCTTTGGACATTTTTATGATGGCCAGTAATTCATCTGCTGTGACAGGAGATAAGAACAGCTCATTTTGCTGTCTGTTTTGCAGGTAGGCTCTAAATTCCCCATGGTGATCTGGGATGCTCTCTGCAAGATTTTTGCCAACATTAATAAAATATTCATTGAAGTGGTTGGCAATGGGGGAGGGTTCCGTTACAACCGAATCATTTATCATAAAAGCTGAGTGGGGGGCCGAAGGCTGAGTGTTCCTGTTCTGAATAGAATTTATGACATTCCAGGTTTTCTTACTGTCACCTGCTGCTGACTGGAGCTTATTTGTATAATAGTTACGTCTGGCGTTTCTAACTGCTTGAGTTACTCTATTTCTGATACTTCGGTAAGCATCACCGAAAGTTATGGGTCTTTTTGCAAATTTCCTTTGGAGTTTGTGTTTTTTCCTTTATCATTATCTTAATTTCGCTTGTGATATAGGGTTTGGAAATGGATACAGTTTTCACTGACTTAGTCTTGAGCGGGAAGCATTTATCAAAGCAAGCATTGAAGATGCAAGAGAAGATAAAGTTGCTCACGTTAGGGTTGTCGGAGGCACAGACAAGATCCCAGTTAGCATTCATTAGGTTGTTTTCAAAAAGGAGCATGTTGTCGGTGCAGTAGTCTCTGTATTGAATTGAGACTCTACTAGACCTTTCAGGTCTTGTGGCTGTTTTATACATGGCAAAAACTGAGAAATGATCCGAGATATTGTCTTCTACATATATAAAACAAAGAAGTCTGTCTGTCTGTCTGTGTGTCCGCACGAGGATCTCGGAAACTACTTTACCGATCGGGACCAAACTTGGCATGGATAGCAAGAGTCATGTGGGGATCTCAAAAAAACTCCAACCAACCCGATCCGACACACCCAACCCGACCCGACCCGACCCGACAGGCCTGAGAGAACGAGAGAAAGAGAGAGAGAGAGACCTGTGGTAGAAGCGGTACCATTCTTGCCTCCCAAGCGAGATGTCAAGGGTTCGATTCTCGGGCCAGTGGAAGTTGTTTGGACTTACTTCCTAGCCCCCATTAGTCCCTGTTCACCTAGCAGTAAAGTAGGTACCTGTTGTAAGTCGAAAGTTGCGAATTCTTACTCAGGGACAAGTTGTTGGAGCTTCCAATAACTTGATGACATAAACCACTAACACTTCAGGCTTCTACGCCCTCGACGCTTCAGGCTTCTACGCCCTTAACTCATGAGACATAAAGGCAAGCATGAACTTAGCATGCTTCCCTGTTGGGCGCTGTAAAGGCTTCTGCGTTTCACCTTACACAAGGATGTAGGGGAGTGCCCAATAAAAAAAAAAAAAGAGAGAGAGAGACTAACGGTCAGCCCAGACGCACACACGTAAAAAAGTCATATTCCCTCCTATGATTTACAGCTATTTTGATCCTTAGGTTCTCCTTCATTATGGCTTACTTTTCTCTGCATCTAACCTCCATCCGTTACACCACACAGATGTTGAAAAGTCGTATCCCATCCCATGCTTTATAGCTAATTTTATCCTTATGCTCTCTCTCTCAATACAACTTACGTTTCTTTGATCTCTAACTTTTCTAGGCTGTCCATTCTAACAAGGTAGGTAGGTAGTCCTAGCGAAAGAGCCTCCCGCCTCCCGGCGACACTGGAACAGTTGAGAATGTGATTGGAAAAGTTAGTGTTTTTGAACGACGAATATTTCTCCCAGTGTGATACGCCCTGAGGGTTTTGTAAGTGTAAAACCATTGAATAAAAAATTATGCCATGTTTACTATATATCTAACTTAAGTTTATGTTGAAATTCATCTCAATAATTTAGTCATAAATGGGTTTAAGTTAAGTAAGGCTTTTAAAGTTGAAGTTCTATCTAGTAATTCTTCAAACCATAACCTCAGTTTTACTGTTCATCGTTTTAAAAGTTAAACTGTAATAAATTATTATCAGATCATGATTGGATTTAAACAAGGAAAGGTTTAATTAGTTACAACCCAATAAGTGGTGATAAAAATATAAATGAACCTCAAATAAATAAGGCCTTAAATATTAAAATGTAGTCAGTATTAATTAAATTATAAATTAATCATAAATACAAAAATAATGTTACATTGTCATCAGTACCGATTTAATCCAGTTAGTTATGACTGGAGGTTTATAATTTGCTGATTCAATAGTTCTTAAATTATTATATATTCTTAGTTACCTTAAGATTATTGTTGGCAAGTGTCATTATATTATTATTTAATTGATATTTGTCATCTTCCAAACATTCACTGATGAACAAAAAGTAAAGGAAATATATTGTATTTACTTGAGATTCAGATAATATTTAAGTTTGTCTTTCCAATAAAAAAATAGACATTGTATTGAGTCATCCACACACAGAAACTTATGCAAATACAACAAAAACAATATTCATATACGAACGGATAATAATAAACTTAAGAAATGTTCGCTGTACATTTAGGGGCAGCGAAGCTGAATAATCTTGTGTTCGTGGTACTACTTTCAACATTACACATCTCTACCACTGTTTTTGTTATTTTTTATGTTATCTGTTGTATTAGATTCCAGGGACTTTAATCACCATTAGCAAAGTCTTAATTACTACATTAGACGAGACCAAACGGTCCTAATCAGCCTTGAGACAACAACATCTACAGAGAACGGGTCAGTTTGTCTCGAGGCCAAACTTCCCTCAGCAAACAGACAAGAGGAAGACGACAACAAACGTTCTCTAGAGGTCGGACAGGAAGAGGAGGGGAGAGGAGGAGGGGAGACTCGAATGAATGGTATGAGATTAGTCTCTCTCTCTTTCTCAATACTACACCATAACACATCTTCACTACAACACCATAACTTTACATCTATACTATACAGCCACTACTACACCATAACACATCTTTACTACAACACCATAACTTTACAACCACACTGTACAACCACTACTACACCATAACACATCTTTACTACAACACCATAACCTTACAACCACACTGTACAACTACTACTACACCATAACACATCTTCACTACAACACCATAACCTTACAACCACACTGTACAGCCACTACTACACCATAACACATCTTCACTACAACACCATAACCTTACAACCACACTGTACAGCCACTACTACACCATAACACATCTTCACTACAACACCATAACCTTACAACCACACTGTACAGCCACTACTACACCATAACACATCTTCACTACAACACCATAACCTTACAACCACACTGTACAACCACTACTACACCATAACACATCTTCACTACAACACCATAACTTACAACCACACTGTACAACCACTACTAACCATAACACATCTTCACTACAACACCATAACCTTACAACCACACTGTACAGCCACTACTACACCATAACACATCTTCACTACAACACCATGTAACAACCACATAGCTAGCCACTACAACACCATAACACATCTTACACTACAACACTACATAACACATCTTCACTACAACACCATAACCTTACAACCACATGTACAACCACTACTACACCATAACACATCTTCACTACAACACCATAACCTTACAACCACACTGTACAACCACTACTACACCATAACACATCTTCACTACAACACCATAACCTTACAACCACATGTACAACCACTACTACACCATAACATCTTCACTACAACACCATAACCTTACAACCACACTGTACAACCACTACTACACCATAACACATCTTCACTACAACACCATAACTTTACATCTATGCTGTACAGCCACTACTACACCGTAACACATCTTCACTTCAAAACCATTCCATTACAACCACACTGTACTGTCACATCATCACTACACTACACTCTTACTTCACTATAAAAACAAATTCCAACCTACTTAAACATTCAATAATTCATTTTACTCGATGATTTTCAACTTAAGGTCCTTGGTGCAGTTGAGTGTCAACCCTATATGTCACAATAATGGACAGCCGACAGGTCTCAAAAAAGACTATTGGATCACTGGTTGGTGACTGCGGGATATGCGGTGTTCTCGTACTAAACGCACAACAATTTGAATTCATAATTAACTCATCTACCTCGAGCCACTTGGGCGAGGGAGCATACGGCACCTGTTGCAAAATCCACCGGCCAAAAGGATACTGGGTCGCCTAGAGCGTTCCTAACATGGATTCTAAAATCATAAGCTTACAGAGGGAGATCCGAGTACTTTCTTTCCTGCGAGATGTCCCAGGTGTTCAGAAGATAGTCATGGTTTGTCCTGAGGAACTAACTATGATTACAGTGTTCGCCGGGGACTCCCTCAAGGAATACTTGAAGATTAATGACTGTACCTTCTCCGAACGCCTCCAGATCGTACAACAGGTCACCCGTACACTGATCGCGGTTAACAGTCGTGGATGGCTGCACAACGACGTTAAAACTGGTAACATTTGCATCCAGAAGACCGACAAGGGGATCCAAGCCACGCTCATTGACTTCGGTATCGCCACTAAAGTTGGAAGTTTCATTAAATTTAACTCAACAAGGGCCCCCGACCACAATGTCCCAGAGGTCGTAAAAAGATGCCCACTCACCACCAAGGCCGACGTGTACAGCGTTGGCCGTCTCCTGGAGCGACTTATGAAAGATGAATTGCACCTCCTTACCCCTAACGCCCAGCAATGGTTGATCCACGCCTTCAACATTGACCCAACCAAACGACAATCCTTAAAGAAGCTGTTAAAATATTTGGTATGAAGGACTTGTACCCCCCAGCCATATATCCCTTTCCAACACCCACCACCATCACCCACCGAAAGCGACCCCGTCCAGACTGATGCTAATGCTAGCAAGAAAATAAACAGTTAAAAAAAAAAAAAAAGAAGAGATGATGAAGCGGGAAGAGGAGGAGAAGAGGGAAGGAGAGGAGAAGAGCGTGAGAGAATTATTAACAAAGAAATACGGAGAGAGAGAGAGAGAGAGAGAGTGTCCTTGGGAGTCAGACGGCACCGGGGCCCGTATTTATAAAACTTCTTAAGAAATTTCTTCATTTTACTCTTATACCACTTTTATTATTCTCATCTAAGAGTAATTCTTAAGTGTATCTCATGAAGCGGGTAAGTCCTACTCTTAGCTAAGAATAAGAGTAAATTTAAGAAAAAACTCCAATTGACAAGAGCATCTTTATAAATAAGCAGAGCAAGTTTATGAAAGGATAAAATTGTTATAGTCTGCTTGTATTTTAATGCGAATAAACGCAGGCTAAAAAAGAAAAAAAAAGAACGTGAATCGAATACTTATTTACTGTAAACTGGACCAAAACATAAACAATCAACGCGTGTGTTTGCCTCTGAGAAAGAAACTACAGCAGAAGAAGGGTTCGCACATATACTGCAATGGCTTCACCAAGTAGCTTTGTCAACTCGTCTCCCGGCAAGACAAGGAACACCAACTGAACAACTATTCCTACAGTATATGGGTTCCGTCTATTACACCCACAACACCAGGAAAGCCCGCAATTTGCATGAACTTTGATGCTTCCTTTTGTATATCTCGCGTATCCATTGGGAACTCAATAAATCGCATGAGTATTTCGGGTGTTGATAAAGCATTTAACGTCTGTGTTATCACTCTGTTACGCTAGGTTGTCATAGCACAAAGTCGTCATTGTTGCACAGTTGTATTTTCCCTGTAGCCAAGTAACGTAAAGTTATCAGCACCTTCATCTCAGGGGGTAATGGCCTTATTCCGTGCAGTTGGACTTCCCAGTGTCCCTGTCACCAAATCGGTAAGAAACACTATTCGGCCCGGTCCAATCTATATCTTTTAACAAGTTTTATGTAAAAATTAAAATTTATATTTCTAGTTTTGTGTCTATATATATGTAACAAAGAAGTTTATCTGTCTGTCTGTTTGTCTGTGTGTCCGCACGAGAATCTCTTAAACTACTTTACCAATCTGGACCAAACTTGGCATTGACAGCAAGGCCCATATGCAAGATCAGCCGTGGTGTATACCATGCTGTAGCACTCCCATGGTTGTTATGCAAGAAGCATTTTGGGCTAAAAAAAAGAAAAATATGTACGATTCGATATTGGAACATGGGGAAATTTCGTGATACACGTACCCCCGTCCGATGATCACTGCGAGGGAACTATTTTTGAAACCGAAAGAAAGAAAAATGATTTGGATGGTCATAAAATGTATAAATCTGCAAAGGAATAATATTTTTATACGATATACTCCATATAGAACAGCACATGCAGAATTGTATTGTTTTTTTTAAAAGAGGTCCGTGATTGTGTACGAAAAATGCCGCCAGCCTCTCCTTGTCTCATCGCCGTTTATATCCTCCAAATTCGCCTAACCATCATAAAAGGTAAGCCTTTAGATAACTAATACAACTAACTTATGTGTAGAAATGTATTGAAATCAAATTGAACTAAAAAAAAGTCGTAAATGGTCTATTTGAAAAGTGGTGAGAACAGCTTCCTCTGGGATGGTGAATGACGTCCTTTATCAGAATTAATATCGACCCAATTTTCGTAATGAGCGCAATTAATAACCATCCAGCACTACCAAAATAATTATTTCCTTAGTATATTTACTTATTAGCCTAGATTTCATATTTTAATAAGTCCAAATATGCCAGGTAACTAGTGCTAGGTACTTCCCAGGCATGTTTCATTTGTGTATCAGTTTAACCACAATTTGCTACTAATAAGATAAATTCAGTGACCTAATTTCATGTTTTATTTTTTTATTCCCTTAGTGACTCAATGTATTACAAGAAAGAACTACTTTACCACTTGTTTGGGCCAACAGTTGGAGTGGTGATATTAATTAACTTTGCCATTCACAGTGGTAGAATCAAATGTAGATATATTGGCTTTGTATGTCCATGATTTCAACAAAAATGAATAAGTCCTTCTAAAGTAAATGGAATTGATGATATTATTATCTCTTGGCCATCCAACGAATTTAATGATTTTAAGTTGACCGATTTTTACCAGTTAAGTTAGGTTACGTTAGATTAGTTAAGTTGGGTTAGGTTAGGTTTGGTGACATTGAAATTATGTTTTTTCAAATGCCAAGTAGGTGGATGACCTAAACATTCATTTTACCAAATTGATTATGAGTAGATTAAAAACATAAGTTGTGTTTTTTTACAAATTCAGACTCCGTAAAGTTCAATTGACAATCACTTCATGATAGATGTTTCACCCTATACACTAAAGCTACTTTATGTAAGAGGAAAAAATTAGCACCAAATTGTATTGTTTAATACCAAAAGAAGTCATTGATGATAATATTTAATAACAATATTTCAGGTATTACGACCTGGTCGTCGGGACGGAACACCGTCGTAAGTCGAGGAGAGACTGTAATACATTTTCATCTTTAAACTCCTTGTACCCTACCTAACTCACCTTGATGCTCTACTCAATTATAGCTAGATGTAATATATAAATAACTGAAAGAGCGTCTCTATATAAATAAAAAAAAAAGCGTCGGTGGTACATGGCAACTTTTTGCCTAGGGACTGTTCGCTCATCGTTTCATAGTTTACTAGCTTGAGCCACTGTTTGTTCCCAGCTTTGCCCTGGGAAGGAAGGATTGTAATCGCGCTGAAAACAAAAATTAAGATCAAATCTAACTGAACAAAATGCCGCCAAAGAAACTACCAAGGCTGTCAATTCTTGAAAGAAGACAGAGAGATGCACTGAGAAAGCAGCAATCAAGATCAAGTGAATCAAGGCAACAACGTGCCGCACGTTTACAAACTAACAGAGAGCGAACAACGGCAAGTCGGTCACAGGAAACAGATCAGGAAATGGAATCCCGTCATAATGCTGACAGAGAGCGGACAGTCGGTCACAGGAAACAGATCAGGAAAGGGAATCCCGTCTTAATGCTCACAGACAGCAAACAGCAGAAAGGCGTTCTCAAGAACATGATCAAGCGCATGAAATTCGTTTGAATGCTGATAGACAGAGAACTGCGGGATCCAGAATTCTAAAAAAGAATACACAGTGGTATCCATTTGCAAGAGCAGCATTTAATTATGACAATGAGACAGAATATGAAAAGTATCCCTCTGTTGTCATTGGCAACATGGATAAGAAATGTGAACACTGCTGTGCAAAGAAGTACAAAGGAGAATCTGCTGGACTGTGCTGCTTTCGTGGGAAAGTACGACTGCCAAATGTGGAAAAACCACCACAACCATTGAAGACTCAGACAGCTTTCAGGCAGTGAGATATCATTCAAGTCTGTTGATATAGTAATCGACCAGGACCAAGCAGTCCAGTACCCTGCAGAATTCCTGAATTCTTTGGAGCCCGCTGAAATGCCTCCTCACCACCTCACTCTCAAGATTGGAACTCCTATAATGCTCTTAAGAAATCTTGAACCACCAAGGCTCTGCAATGGCACAAGACTGGTGGTGAAGAACATGATGCCACATGTACTGGAAGCTACAATACTGACAGGAAAAGCTAAAGGAGAGGACGTTTTTATACCAAGGATACCTCTCATCACCACTGACCTGCCATGTGAGTTCAAGCGACTTCAGTTCCCGGTTAAAGTGAGCTTTGCCATGACCATCTACAAAAGTCAGGGACAGTCCCTAAAGATGGTTGGCGTAAACCTGGTGTTTCCTTCCTTCTCTCATGGACAGTTCTATGTTGGATGATCCAGAGTGGGAACTGGCAAAAATCAGTACATACTTTCTCCTAATGGCAAAACCAAAAATATGGTCTACCCTAATGCACTACAGTGAGACAATGTGGAGCCTCCCGGAGGGAGGCGCCCTACCTTGGCCTAGCGAAAGAGCGTTTCTGCTAGTTATAAATAATTCCACTTGCAAGATTGTAAGGAGTGTTGTTAGTCCAGATATGATCTATCACAGTGGCAGAGGTGGCAGTTACTCTAGTGGGTTTGGTTATAGTGTTGAAGAAGAGTTTAGAATGAAAGGTAGCAAGAAGGTCTAATACTGAGGTGTCAGTTTCTGATTTTAATAGATCAAGGTTGAAATCTCTTGTAATGTAGCAATGTTTCCTCTTTGAACTTATGATAGAGATAAGCTCCAAAAATTTATCAAGAAAATTCCTTACATTAGTGTGGGGTCTTCTGTAGATTACTCCTACTAGGATATTTCGTGTGCCGTTACGTAATTCAATGAAAACACTCTCCATGTATTCCTCATGAACCTTTAAATCATCTCTTACAGAAGTGTTGTACTTGATATCAACATATAGGGCGACACCATCACTGTGTCGTGACGTGTTGACGCAGTGTCTATTATAATTAGGAATGTTATACAAATGGTCAATATCGTTAGTGAGTTTGGTCTCACAGAACCCAAGTACATAAAATTTGTGGGCAATAGAAGATAAACACTGATTTAAAAAGGTATCTAGATGAAGGGGAATACTGCTGATGTTATGGCTAATCAAGGAGATGGAATGAGGTAGTAGGAGACTAGAACTAAACTCGGGAGAGTCAGGTCAGTAATAGTTACAGTTTCGGTTGGTGTGACTCAATGAGTTTTGTAGAAAGACATCAGGATCGATATGAAGGAGTATTGTGTCGACACCATGGGGAAATGGGGTGTAACACATACGATCTA